TGCTTCTGATACGCTGTCGCCAGCACACTGTTTTTCAGTTATCCAAAGCAAAAGCATTTTCTCAACATGATCTAATGTCTTCGATCTCTGTTTAGAAATTGATTTAATCCCTTTCGCAACGTTAGCAGATTTAATAATGTCTTTATTTTTCACGATCGTCGATATCGTCATTCTCAGAATACAGTATGCAACAGTTAAAATCTTGAACATGCATGCCACCTTTATATTTCTCAACAATCTCTTTTTTCAGTTCCATTGTGATTCTAGTCATTTTTTTTTAGTTTTCTGTTGCTTTTCACTTGCCTTTTTGCAATTCATGATTAATAAAAATAATAAAATTTTACTTACAAATTAAAATTAAAAAAAAATTTAACAAAGTTATAAACAGTGGACCACGAATGTCTAGTCTGGTCTAGTACACCGATAGTGCTACTTGTTCATAGATGGCGCATATAATTGAATTAAGTCATATACCGAACAAAAGTCATATACCAAGCAAATTTGTTTCATCCAAACAGGACGTATTCTGAATTGGACGTGTTCTAAAGCAGATGTATACTGAGGTACCACTGTACTTATGTTAATATGTTTTATTTACAGATATACGAGACACCGTGAACTATAAGGAAGTCATGAAACAGTATCCTTTTTTAATTTGTACTTAAAAATATTTTTCTAGTGATCATTTAAAATTAACTGGATAGTCAATAGTAATAATTGGTGCAATGATTAAAAGTTTTCTTTATAATTTCATTAAATTTTATTAATTTTAAAATTTTTCATTTAAGTAAAACAACAGATAAAAGGATAAATGTAGAAAAAGAAAATACTTATATTAGAACTTCTGGATATAAGTTGAAAATTGCTTGAGATGAAACACTGAATTTTCAGATATTTAATTAACTTTTTATCAATAAATGATAATTTTACAAAGCTAAAGATATATGCTTATGAACAATTCAAAAGTATTATTACCAAACAATAAAATGCTAAGCTTTTGTAAAGTGTGCAACAATTTTTTCCAAAAGAAAGCATGTGTTATATTTTTTGAATAACATTCTGACTTTTCTATTTTATTTGGTAAATTTAATATGTTTATATGAATTTACGTTTGCATTTATTTTTTTAAACTCTCTCTTAATTGTTGCACAATTATAGTCTACAGGAGTGAATAGAATAAAGAAATAGATTTCACAAATAAGGTAATCACACACATGTAATGAATATAATACCTAGCACATGAATATAATATTTAAAGTTGCAAGTCACATAAACACATATTTAGGAATATGTACAGTATATGTGAGTTTAACATTAAAACAAGTACATTAAATGGTATGTAAAATATTTTCCTATTTGATGATCATATCTAGTACTATCTATTCCTATCACTTCCTCAAAGCTCTAAGTTATTTTTTTGAAGGACAATCAAAAAGCAAACACCTGTGAAGATCACAATATCAGCAGTTACTTTTCAAACAAAAGTTTGAAGTTTATTTTACATCAAAAATGTCCATTTCATCTTTCTTTTTCAGATAATACTTGCTTTAGCACTTTGGTATTTCATTCGCTTGAAGATGTCTAGACATTAGTCATAAATTTGTTTTTGTGTGGTCTTTATGGCCACACAGAAACAACAGAAAGTAGAACTGATAATCAAAGGAAAAATTCCACATAAGCATGTGCATGTAGAAACTACAACACCTACCACCTAGTTTGGGAATTTGGAGGGGATGGTGAAAACACCTTGCGTATATTTAAAGGTAAAGTTGATGCATGAATAAAAGACATGAAGTGGTCTAACCCTACCTCTACAGAAATAATTTTAAAAAGTGACATTGCTGTACTTTTTGCAACAGTGTAAGTGCTGAAAAGTTAATATCAAAATTAAATGAGAAGTTAAAGTTCTTCCTCAAATATAAATTCTTTATTTGACATTGTATATTTTTTATGGGGATATTGAATAAAGTTAACTTTGAATAACTTAAAATAAATTTTTATTAATGGTTAATAAACAAAACTTGATAAATCTATTTCATATAGAGTAAATTAATAATAATTAAAATAATCTGTTCTAAAATGTATACAAAAAATGATTTGGTTTGATTTTAAAATGTACTTTTTGAGGTAATTTATTCATATATATTTTTATTCTGTTTGCTCTTTTGGTCCTGTTGGTGCTAAGAAGGCAGTTTATGTTATCCATTAAATCATAAAAATTCTTAAGATTCAATGTAAAAATTATTTTATTAATATTAAATAATTCAGGAAAAAAATATTTCATATTGTCCATTATAAGAAGACTACTAATTATTTTTCTTTTTTTCTTTTTAAGAATCAAAAACTTTTTCTTTTATAATCATTTTAATGATTTTAACCAATAAATAACATTAAAGAATTAAGGTTTATTTATTATTCTGCTGAATTCATTTAAAATTGAACTTTTGTCTTCAATGGTTTAAAATAGACATATTATTTTCTAAATATTTAAATTGTTAAGCATGAGATGTTAATTTATTGCAAGAATATTAAATTTCCATATCTTAATCATAATAAAAATCAATACTTCCTTAACATGTTTTATGTATAAATTAGGTCCAAATGGAGGAATAATCACTTCATTAAATTTATTTTCTACAAAATTTGATCAAGTGAGTATTAATTTAAAATATTTATATATGAAAATTAATCAGTGTTATAATATAAACTAGTCATAAGCAACCCATAATGCATGAGATCCTAATATATGGACCCTAGGGCTTTGACAATATAATTTTATTTTCCTGTTCTACATTGTGACATTATGCAACTCGAATTTTAAACTTCACCAATTTCCAGTTTCGTCACTCATAAGTAATTTTACCTTAACTTTTACTGTTTTTATTTTACTAATTTACAGAATAATGAGAAGCTGCATTAATTAATAATGAAGTTTGTTCAATTACAATGAAAATAGCAAAACAGTAATGTAATTTATTCAGCTAACAAGAGTAATGAAAGCAGAAACTATGACTAGGAAAATTTCATCCATAACCCCCATTCCTATGTCATACACACTGATCAAATTTCATGGCAGCATGTATATAGTGTATTAACATATAGAGTATGTTAATACTTAGCAGGTATAAAGCTTTCAACTCCATAAGAAAATCTGCTTGCAGTTCACCAGATGCTTACAAAGTTCACATTCAGAAAAGGTTGCTCATCACTAATTTAAACTATTTTAATTAAAATGAACTGTTTTTTTTTTTTTTTAATGTATTTCACTTTATTTCTTTATTTAATATTCTTGAAACTAATAATTCAGACAAGATTGCAAGATTTAACCAGAAAGTAAGATTGATTCAATAGCTTTCTATTTGAATAGAAGTGTCTATCAGCATTTACATTTTTATCATTTCTTTCAAAGTAGTGTAATCACCTTTAATCTAACTATTAATTTTTTGTTATTTTAAGAAAATATCAAGCTTTCTTGTAAAATTTCATTACATAGTCTTTAAATTAATAATAATACATTCTTTGAGAAGAAAATTATAATAATTAGATTGTGATAAAATTTTGTTAAGAATTTTGTAAGATTAAGAGATGAAAATCTCAACAAGAGTCTGAAATAGAGTTTATACTTTTAATTGTAAGTCTTCAGAATTTCTAATGTATGTTGAGTTGAAGATGAAATGAAACAAATTATGAGAAAGTTTAGTCATCATTAAAATTTTTTTTTTGTGTATTTTAAATGTAGAAAATTATAAATACATTTAATATAATTATATTCCATTAAAATTATAGGTTCTAAAATTTATTGAGAGAAGAAGTGCTCAACAAGAGTAAGTCAAAAAACTAAATAATACTTAGTACTTATCTCTGATAAATAAATATCTAATAGATTTTAGACATATTGTAGTGTTAACTTATATAAGAAGCCTTTCCCCTCCACCAAAGTAATGAATTTAAAAATGTGAAACTTTAAACTGTGTTCCTCTATGTTGTTGCTTATTTAAATTTCTACATTATTATTTTAGATCCAGATATCTTTGTATATGTTTGATTGTTATGCATTGATAGAAGTAAATTGAATTCATGGATTATAACAGAACTTTATCATAACCATGATTTATATCTATATTAATGTATAAAGTGAGAAAGTTTGTTTTGCTGGAAGTAATCTTGGAATCTACTGAACTGATTTTAAAATTCTTTTGCTATTGGAAAGCTTATTTTTTTCTAAATGAACATAAGCTATATACTATTTTCATATTAAAAAAGGAAAATGCATGAGAAATGTGTTTTACCATGGTATTTGTCTCAAAGTCATATCATTGTTTGTTTGCTCCATCCAAGGTCAATTTTCTTTGCCACCTGAGATGCTTTTTCAAACTTATCTGTTCAGTTTCAGGTATTTTACAGGAAACATGGCTACCATAAAAATCGGACCCTTCACTCTCTTCTGATTTCATCCATCACCCTACTCTCAAACTTTGAGTGATCTGGATAAATTTTGAATAGTTGATCTCTATAACCCTCCAAAAAATATATGTTACTTTAAAACTCATATCCTCATCTTTCTCCCTGAATTCATTCTCCATGAATTACCAAATCCTTTGACTGACTTGGACTAGATTTTGCATAGTTACTCTTTGCCACCCTGTGGAAAACATGAACTACTTATAACAAGGACAACTCAACCCTCTCCAAATAAATAAGAGACTGTTACATTAAAATTGTCATAAATGAATATATCTCAACTGTGTATTAGGAAGTGACCCATTGCCCAATCTTCTTATGTATATAAGTTGAATCTAATTATAAAACTTGACTTATAGGTGCAGAACAATCTTAATTTTTATCCTTCTTCAGTTAATCTTCTAATTTTCCTATCTTAAGGTCATCAAAATATTTATGTAACAATTGGACTTGCATAAGTTAACTTAAATGAATTTAAAAATACAGTACATTATAAGAAATTTATTGAATTTTAAGATATCTATATATATACACATATGCATTATTTTCAAAAAATTGTAGGTTTGTCATCTTTGATACACCAGGACAAATTGAAGTATTTACATGGTCTGCTTCAGGAACTATCATAACAGAGTCACTTGTAAGTTCATTAAATTAAATTCATATCTCATTTTAATAACTTTTAAAATAAGCTTAGTTTCTCTAAATTAAACTTAAATTTATTGTAAGTAAACCTTGACTTTTTGTATCAAAAATTAAAAAAATGCGCTTATGTTAAATAAGGTAAAATAATATAGTCTTAACAGTTGAAATATGTTTTATTTATTTTGCAAAGTGTATATTGCTAAAATCGCTTCATTTTTATTAAAGCTTTATTTATTCTATACTGTATAATATTCTTTTGTAAAGACTGCTACAAAATACTTTTCAAAGTTTTCTCATAAAAAAAAAGAAAGAAACTACATCTGTTGTCTGAAAGGACATGTCTAAATGCTAGAAAGACAAATGTCTTTCTCTACATCACATAATGTCAAAGAATAAAATCTTAAAAAAGCTATTTCTGTAAATTGTAGAGCAATTTCATGATGAACAAATTCACTGGAAAAAATTTTGTCAATGTCTTAAGAAGTTTTAAGTGCAGTATCTCTCAGGAGAACTTGTTAACTTCTTCCTAATTTTTGGTAATTTTTGTATTTCAGTTACAACCTTATAAACTACTACCAGAGAATCTATTTTCTGTAGTCCAAATGCTTTCAGTTTCTGTATATTTTTTGGAATACAGGAAACATGGGTTTAAATTTTGAGGATGTTAGTTTGGTAAGTTTGTGTAAATCTTGAACCAAGCATGTAATGTGAATTAAACTAGGACATTGTGCGACTTTGTCGTATTGCGATAGTATTGAAGTGGAACCAGAAGGAAAGAAGCAATCCCACACCTGTTAGGCACAGAAGAGGCAATTCTTATATAGATAAGGAGAAACAACCCATGAACAAAGCAATGAATGAAGATTGCTTTGTTTTTGCGTTTTGTTTGTTTTTTGCATCTATTTTCCATTATGTGCACCTAATACTTTGTTCTTGCCCCCTAGGCCTAAATTCTGTTAGGTGTGCTTGTTGCATCAGAGAGCATGGACACTGTCACTGTAATACTTTTGTATATCAAAATCGAAGTCATAGATTCCTAGTTTTACTTTCTTGGCTCTGTTATAGAATAACATGAGAAGTATGGCAATTGGTCAAAAAATGACCCCCCCATTACATTTTTGGATTCAGGAGACCTTGAAACATTGAGAAATGCAAAAACATTTAGTATTTTTTTTCCTCTATGTACAGTGATGCCTCGTATAACATATGCCTCGAATAATGGATGCTGCGAACAACGGACTTTCTGTTTGGCCGCTACGTGACTCGAGCAACGGACTGGCTGCGAACAACGGACTTTCCATTCAGTAGTTAAATGAGGCAAACAACTGACTTTCTGTGAACAAGTGCGAATGATGTTTCCACTCTTTTGCCGTTGCCAATGACAATCTGCTGGTTTTATAATATATTAGTATTACTAGAATATATTATTAGTATATCTGAAGTACAGAGCTCCCGTTAGGATTTGGCTTGCTCCCTTGTTTATTACGTACATCACCTCAGTGCAGGGTATTTACATTTATTCAAGTGTTGTAAAAATCATGGCTTCTAAAAATACAGAAAGGTGATTTCAATTGAAACAAAGCAAGAAATCATCAGAAGGAATGGAAGTTGACAAAAACTTCCTTGTCAAATAAGGAGAGGTTCAGGAATTTACCAACACTCATTATCCAAACAGAGCTGAGGCCAACAAGATCTCTACAATGACACCCTTGCCCGTTATTTCCAACAGGTGTTGAAAAAGAGAGAAACAGACCACCCTGGACATGATTTTCAAGAAGCCAGCTGCCAAATAACAAAGGATGGAACAAGAGGAGTTGACCCTGCACGTTCTGGTAGCCTCTCCTGAATCTGACTCTGATTAAAAAACAATAAAAAGAGACCCGCTGCAATGTGTGAAAAGTCTGTATCTGTATGAATGTATGAAGAAAGTGTTCCTCCACCTCCTCCTCACAACATCTGATTATCCAGCATAATTGGTGACTGCTCCATTTTCATTTTTTAATGGTACAGTACAGTTATTTTATGCTGCGGAACAAATTATATGTTTTAACATGTATTTCTATGGGAAAATGCATTTCATATAACGGACTATTCACTTAACGGACGTGCACCTGGAACAGATTAAGTACGTTATACGAGGCACCACTGTATATGTTAATATTTGTGTGGGGCATGATTTTGTTTACCCTCTTTGAAGCTTAATAACTCCTGTGCTTTCGAAAATTTCTGAACTTTTGCAGGAAGGTTTGTATATTAGAGGTGTATATTTGAGGTTGTGTATTAGAAAGATTCATGCTATTACATTTTGGTGGTTTAAGGTCAACAAGGTGAAAAGATAATGGAGGGTCGTGTGTCATATGTTGAGTAGGGTCGGACTTAATGACGATTTTACTCATTATTAGCATTTACAATTTTTTATAAAACCCATCCTTACTCTCAAAATTAAGCTTTTAGCCATTTTATAATAATTAAAAATGTAAACAGTTATTTTTTTAATGAAATGTAACAAATAGCACCACCAGAATTTTAAATGATGCCGGGAAAGTTAAGCGATTTGTTGCTGGATTTTTTACACTTAAATCGACTCACGTTACATTTGTGGATTCCTCATCTCAATTAAAGGAAAATGGCAAAGTTTTATCAAAATCAATGCATTAAATTTTGAGAATGAACTTGATTCTATAAGCTCATACAAGATGTGCTAGTGACTGTGAAACATTGCACAATTTGTGTGATATTGTTTTGTTGTGTGTTTGTGAAACAACCTTATATCTCAGAAATGAAGTCATGGACCCCCCAGTTTTTATTTGCAGTTTTGGATTCTATGTCACAATTAATGGAAGATGGCAAAGTTTAATCAAAATCTATTGAACAGATTTTGAGAATGAACACAATTCTGTAAGCCTCATAGAAGTTTCACTAATGCTCTGTTTCAATTAGGATATACAGTCTGTAGAACTTTAATAATTCCTGCTGCTTTTAGCATATAAGGAGTAGCATTAGTAACTAAAATTAGTACCTTCTCCTCATTGATTGATTATACATCTTACTTAAGTTTAACAAAATCAGAATATTTTGGTAAATTTGTCAACCACATAGTGAAAAAGGAAAAAGAATTTACTGAATGAATTGTGGACTAATTAGTTTTCTTCTATTCTGAAGAGGAAATCATATGTGATTTTATAAGTTTTATTCCTTGTCAAGTTTACCAACCAAACAACTTGCCATGTACTATACCTTTCTTCTACATTGGTCGTTTTGTTTATGCTAATACAAATATAAGAATCTGCTAAGCTATGTTTTCTAGGAACTTTTTGAAAGTAATATACCTTCACAAATGCAATGTTGACAGCTAAAAGAGAGTAACGGAGCTCAAAGGTAAACCCATCCTTGTGTGTGATTCTCTTACCAATTCTTGTTGAAAAAATCAACAATGACTTTTTGTTGGACTTTTTTTCATTTGATATTTTTGACAAAAATAATCTTTTCATTGTGCTGCTTAAGTTGAACTCAAGATTCATCCTTTTCATATTCCAGGAATTCAAGTTGCATATTTTAAACTATTTTATGTATTTAGGCAAAGAGCATAAAGAAAGATCATTTCCATCATGTGACTTTGAATTCCTGTGGCATGAAAGGATGAACTATTTTTAAAAATTTTATCCTGGTTCATTGTTTATGTTAATTTACATTCAAATATATAAAATGAGACAAATAAAATTTTTTAGCTTAACTATATCAAATTTAGAAGACTTTTTCCAAACTTTAAAAGTTATAATTTATGTTTAGATAATAGAATTTTGCTGTACTAATATATGCATACTTATTTATTTATTTTAAAATTTGTAATGATAAAGTCTATTTCTAATGCTTTTCTTAAATACAGCTCTCCCTTAATAGTCCGACAGATATGGGACCAAAGGGGTGTTGGATTACCAAAAATAATTACATATTTTGCATTGTTTTGCTAGCAGTAGCTTACAATATTCCCTACTCCAACTGTTCAAACAGAACTGCTCACAGAAAACACAAGAAGTCTGTGTCATCGTGTAAGAATTGGATGGGGAGATTCATGTCGCGACATGCTTCTGTGCAAACAGACGCATAACAGGGACGGGTACCTTGACGGGAGGTGCGGTGCGTTGGACTACTGAGCATGTCGGATTAAAAAATGTCGGACTATTAAGGCAGAGCTGTACTTATAAAAATTAATTAGTTAATTTATAGTTAATTACATAATTTTATTTATTCATGAGATATTATTTTCTAGGCTTCTCTGTTTCCTACAGTTATTGTATATGTTATGGACATAAACAGAAATGTCAACCCTGTAACATTTATGGCAAATATGTTATATGCCTGTAGTATTGTATATAAAACTAAACTTCCATTTGTGGTTGCAATGAACAAGGTAATTAACTTTCTTTAAATAAATTTTAATGCATTTTAATTTTTATGATTTTCAAAAAGATATTTTTATAATTTTCAAAAAGATTCATATCTTTTTAGAAATATTTAAGTTTAATTGTATACTAAATTTTGTTTCATTTATAAAACTGATTCTAGTGACCAAACATTTTAAGTTGATTCAATATGCTTTAAAAGATGCTAAAAGAATACATACTTTTACTAAATATATAATCAGAAATAATCTAATTAAATAAAGTTTAGAAACAAATTTGATACTGATTTAAATTTTATTTTTTATGTTTAAATTAATTAAACTTTATCTTATATTAATATTTTTATTTTCATAAAATAAGTTAAAATGTGGTGGATTAAAAATTCTGTGTCAAGTCCTTGTTAGATAAATAGACAAATACTGCTTTTACTATAGCACCATAGACTGTTATCCTGTATTTGCTTCTTATCATAATTATACATCCATTTTATGCATTTATCTTATTGTGTTACCAGCTTGTTTATGATGCTTCATAAAATAATGTATATCAAAAAATTTTGAGTATTAGTTTCTAAAACAAACTGATACCAATATATCAGTATTGGTTACATGCTGCAAGAATGTACAATGAAAATAAAATTTTTAACATATTTCTACAGTAAAATTTTTCATAATTATGCATCAATAACCATATCCAATATATTTTGCTTTATTTTGTTTAGATTGATGTTGTGGATCATCATTTTGCTCTTGATTGGATGCAAAATTTTGAATCATTTCAAGAAGCATTGCAGAATGAAACATCTTATATCTCAAATTTAACGAGATCGATGAGTTTGGTCTTGGACGAGTTTTACAGTACTTTACAAGCTGTTGGTGTATCAGCTGTTACTGGAGTTGGAACAGAAGAATTTTTCAAAGCTGTGTTAATTGCAAGAAATGAATATGAAACGTATGATTTGCAGTTTTTAGAGCTATATAGCTTTAGTTTTTTCATTCAAAGACAAATCCAATATAAAATTTTACTTTTTTTTTATTTATTATATTTTAATATGTGTAGAAACTGTTTTTGTTTTCTTTCTTTAAAATTCATAAAATTTGGCACTATATTGATAAACAAATAAATCAAACAACAATTAAATCATTTTATCATTCTTAGCTTAGAACAATGTTCATTTAACAGATTGGAATGACACAACCTCTACATCATTCTAATCTGTTAAATGTTCTAAGCTAAAGATAGTCAGATATTTGATCAGAAACATTTGTTAAAAGTATTGCTATCCAAATTTAAACAGTTATGTGATTTATTTATTAATTTTTCTCTCTCATTTTTTTATGCCATTCTTTTAATGAAAGACATTTTAATTGTTCATAAATCTTAATTGGTTCTGATAACTGCTAAAAATATTTAAATATTAAAGCAGCAAATGAACACAAAGCAGACTTTAACTTCTGGTACATTAATTAATGCCTAACTTTTTTAATTACTGAAGATTAGAGAAAAATTAAAATTATAAAATTTTAGCTAAATACCAACCAATGCCGAAAATCTATCAGGTTTAGAGAGGTTTGTATATAAAATTTTATACATAATTGGTACATATAAGTATAATATTATGGCTAGCTATTGATTGATTGACAATTATATTAACAGCCAAATGAACAGATACAATAATAGGATAAATAAGACTTTTAAAGTCTCAATCAAAACTAGAAATGGCAGTGCAGTCCAGTGCAACAGACATACTGAAGTATACATATGTTTAGTGCTGATTTTTTATCATAACAAGAACATAGTTAATGTGTTTATAGTTGAGATTGTGTCAACTTCAGGCAGTAAAGATAAAGAATTGTAATTTTCAATTATGATTAAATGCTTATATATATACTACATTAATAGATTTTTTCTGCTGAACATAAAAATTTGGACAAGAACAGTTTTAGCAGAATCAAATGCATAATTTCATAAATTTTCTCAATGCATATTGAGAAAATTTATTACTAGTATTACTAGTTTTAATAATTATTTGGCATATTTGCTTTTTATTTTTTCAAATACTGTATTGGCATAGTATGAGTTTATTTTATTTCAAATTTTAATTTTTTCTTTTACCATATGTTCTAATTGTATTATTATCTGCAGTTTATCCTATAGTAGCCTATACATATAATACACATCTCAAAGCCCGATGAATTAATATAATAATCCCAACAATCGCCTAAATATTCAACGGTACCTAACACTTACCTCTAGTACCAAATTTATTTGTATTAATTATTTGATTACAGTAATACCTCAACTTACGTGAACCCGGAGTTACACGATTTTCAAATCTCGTCGATTCGTCTTTTGTTTGAGCACCACACAATTCTTGATTACTCACTCCCCCCACACTATTGTTCAGCTTACATGTTCGGACGTGTCACACGGAATCGATACATAGCTACAATTTATTTCTGTGTTTGTTATATCTACGGAGACTTGAGAGACTCTATGTGGTGATTTCTTGTAACCGTGAACGAATCAAAAGACGAGATAAGATTAACGAGAACATTTGTTAGCTTACATACATCCGAATTGGATTTTACATAAATTGCGAAATTATACCCCGACTTACACGAATTCGACTTACGTGGTTATCGCTCGGTCCCACCTATCGCGTAAGTTCAGGGTATTACTGTATAGTCATATTATAGCCCAAATATTTAGGGAATCATTGGGATTATAGTATCCTAGTTATAATAATTAATGCTAACTCAAACTATATTCAGAATCAAGATCAATATAATTATCATTATAAAAGATAATTATATTGATCTAAAGCAATATGCATTTAAGAAAATGGAAATAAATAGTTATAATGAAACAGAATGAAAATTAATACATATCTTTAATAAACATAATAAAAGTTTTGATAATGAATTTAAATTAGTTTTAAAAACAATTTTAATTTAGTAAGTGATTAAAAAGTTTACTTGCAAGATGTGGACTTGGCAGTGCTATCAGCATATTATGAAAAATACATATCTTTTGCATTTATTACAATAGATTACAAGGATTATTACAAGGATAATAATTGAAATTTCTTGCTAGCATTGCCAAATCTACTTCTTGCAAGTAAACATTTTGTTTAATCTTTGTTTAACAAAATTATTATTATTTTTTTCTAATACAGAATTTATAAGACTGAATATGAACAGTTACTTAAGGAAAGGGTAAGTTTTCAGCCTGAAATTTAAACATGCAAATCTTAAAACAGTTGTTTTGCTTTTTAAAAGGGTAAATTATATTAAATTTAATTAGATTTAATATTTTATTTTAGGAAGAAGCAAGAAAGGCTGAACAAGAACAACAATTAGCTAATTTGAAAAGGGATTTGGGAAAAGGAAAAGACATAACTTCTATGTGTAAGTTTTTTTCTATAAAATTATTTAAAATATTAATTTTGAATTAGACACCCTTATGGAATTATTGCCTTTATCTTTTAGTTTATACAGAACCCAGATCTTCAGAAGTATATTTATGTGCTGGATCAGATCAGGAAGATACTTCTGATGAAGAAAAAAGGCCAGATTATGATAGTAATGGTAATGTCTATTTTTTTCTATCTACACAAAGTGAATTGATAATGTAAAATATATTAAAGATTTATATGATGATTTAATGAGTTAATCTGAGAATCAGTCTCTAATGATCAACTATGAAAACTGATGAGTTGACAATGTAAGTTTTATCTGGGAAAAGGGATAAGTTTTGTCTAACAATGAATCCAAAACAACCAGTTGGCTAAGACAGTAAAATATCAGCTTGCTTTTTTTTGTGACTTGAATTTAAGTTGAGTCAGAACCTAATAAATTTTCTATATGAACTTTTAGTAATAAACAACAATTTTGCCAACATCAATCCTTTCAGGTCAAGACCCTTTAGACTCGGCCTTCCACTTGTACAGTACATTCTTCAACATTCTGTTAATTTGAGATATGTTGTTGGCTTGCATCTAACATTATCCCTTCAATCTATTTTTAATTATTTTGCAAACTTTTGGTAATCAGAAATTTATTTTTTATTTCAGTAGAGTTTATATGAATTGTAATTAAATGAACTGAAAATTATATTGATGATATTCAATTTTTACATCAGTTGTTATTCTACATCATTCTTCCAGTGAATTAATAAATACATATTTTCATTTTTCAGAGGAACAGGAGGAAGAAGAATCATTTAGAAATTTTGTTGCTAATTGGAAAAGTAGAAAAACACCAAATACATAGTTAATAACAAAATTTTATGTATATAATATGTTATAAAAAGTTTTTAAATACAAATAAATTTTATTTTTAACATTACAATTAAGTACAGTATTTCCTTATTTGGTCTGTAACATTTAAAATAAATTTTATACAGATACTCCTTGATAATATGCTTTTGGTTAATGCAGTTCATTAATTATCAACAGCTTTTGTACCACAGTGCTTTTTTTTTTCATTTTTATCAGTTCCAAAGAATGTCACTACTAGGTGCTCTGTGAAGAGATGCTTAATGCACTACTTTCAAAGAATGTATCCATATACTAACTGAAGGTTATCTGAATATAATAATTTAATAATTAAAAATTTCTAAACTTACTGTTAAACACTAATTATAATGTTTTAACTTGTCAAATTAAACAAATCTTTTATATTAAACAATTAAAATTATTTAAACTTTAAATAAAAATGTTTATAAATAAAGGTTTAATATATAATTATTTTACCTTGCTTTTAATAAGTTTTAAACAAAATATTTAAAAATTACTAAACTAGTAAAATTGAATATTCAAAAGAAATAGAAAATGACTATTATTAGTTGATATTTGGATTTAAAAAGGTCAAAACCAAAATACAATCAAGTCAACATTTGAACCTAACTACAAATATTACTAATGATAAATTTGAAAAGAATACTCACTAACAGACACTTCGGCGCCATTCGAGGACTCGTTCTCCCACTTCGATTAAAGTCCACAGAACAACGATCGTGTGACGTCTGTCATCACAAAGTGAGGACGAAAACAAGGCAATGTTTCTCCAGTTTAGTCTCTTGTTTAAACGACTATAACAGGTTGAGGCGACTTATCTTATACAGACATTAACACTATTAAACTGGTGTGCTACTGCTAAGAAATTTCAAAACATCAAAGAAAACACATTGTAGTCACATTGTAGTCAGTATATGTGCAAACTGAATAGTAGTTATTTCAACAATTGATGATAAACAAATTTTTAATTAATAACGTCGAATGAGGATAATTTTTGAACTGTTTTGTTAGAAGTTTTGGCTCGAACACATCGTCATGTTTTAAAATTTAAAATGTTTTCTAATGTTTTCTAAAACGCTTACAAAACCAAACGGTTCTACTTTATATAGATTTCAGAATAAAAGGATTTAAAATAAATAAACTTTTCGGAATCATTACTGGATATTGATATCTGTCGATGCCCGATTTGTAATACAGTAATTTGAATCAAAATATTGCAGTGTTTCATTGTATTCAACACGCGGAATAACGGACGCTATTTTTACAGACGCGATTCGATACTGAAGTAAGAAAGGTGCTTAATTCTTAACCATTATTTGGCTTCAAGATCCTTTTCTGTATTTAGAACAATCTCGATATCGGCATTAGATTGTTCTTTTGAACATTTGCTAAATTCCAGTTAATATCTAATAAAATGTTTTATGAATATACCGTAATAATTTCTATTAATGTTTGTTTAAAGTGTTACTACTGAATGCTTATTTTTATTATTATATCTGATTTTGTTTTTCTTTATATATGTATAAATATAAATTTTTCTGTTATTTTCCGTTATTATTTTTTGTATTAAATACACATATTTTATTTTTGGAACACCGATGTTTCAATCTTCTGGTTTAACCTGAGGATGGCTTGTGGAATAGGCTGAAAACGTTAGTTTGTTTTCAATAAACTATCTCGGAAACATAAGGTGTGTTTTGATAATCTAGTAATTATTTGCATTTTTAATTTTTTCTTTTACAATATGTTCTAATTGTATTATTATCTGCAGTTTATCCTATAGTAGCCTATACATATAATACACATCTCAAAGCCCGATGAATTAATATAATAATAATCTGTTAATAAATGTTAATATCTAACTGCAGAGCATGGACAAGTCTTTCAGGAAAGTTTGTTCTCAACTTTCTATTGTAAGTGTTTGATTAATCAATCTGTTTGAATCACACCAATTTTGCCCAATTTCAAAATAGAATTTCTATTTGAGAAAATAAATTTTTAATTTCGTGCTTGTAATATTGTGATATTCTGCCCCCCCTTTTTCGTATTGTTTAAATCAGTATCGTTCTCCTCCTAGTAATGCTACAGAAAAAAGGGAGTCTACAATAAACGATCGAAACTCTCTCCTCGGGTTAAATGTCATAGTCTATATCAATAAATTCGATCAAGATAAAATCAACAAGGCAAGAACGGATGTTTAAGAGAAACTAATAAACGGCGTTTCTCACCCCTCCTTTAGCTGCACGTGTCTGCGGACACCTGCATGATAACCAAAACAACATGATAATAATTGCCTCCCTCGTCGACTAATACGATATTTAATATAAACAACCTAGAGATTGTTGTCAAATCTGAGAAGATATTGTCAAAATATACAATATTTAATGGGAGAGAGATGTCAAATTCGTAGGAATTTATATCATAAAATTTCACCTTCAGAAGACCAATGTCAACAATCCGGCCAAAGAATACATCGGCGACGTTCCGTACCAGCTGGATCTAGATTCGGCACAGCTAAAGGCGGCTATACACGTTAAGTTAATCTTTTGAAACTGCCTGACCTTGAGGAACTTCAGAATTTCCTATCGCCCACAAACGAAGAAAAGCTCTCAACAGAGGCGTAGGGGTGGGACAGCTTGCCCCGGGTGCCACTCGCAGAGGGCGCCAAATGGTTTCCAAGAAAACAAGGTTTGTTTCTGGAGAGGGGGTGCCAATATAGTATCGTGCCCCGGGTGCCAGTTATGTTCGCTACGCCATTGTCTCTCAGTCAGTCAGTCGGCCATGGCATCTGATGACGACATACTGACTGTTCTTGGATGTTTATTGGCAACAAATTCTATTAAAAGTCGCGGGAAAAAGTATGCATAGAAGTCTATGGTGTAAATAGTAGTAGTAGTGATTTGGGTAGCACTGATCACAAAATTAATTTTTCATATGAATAATTTTTTAATGGAATTATTTCAGATCACAAAATTAATTTTTCAAGAGAAATCTTGGGCTATAGATTATGTTAAAAAGCATCAATTATCAGCGAAAGACAATGGCAAGTCGATTTTACTACCAAAAAAATTCATGGATTAAATTTTATAGACGAATATATATTAATAATTCTCAACCACATCCGATATTAGTACAAATTGTAAACATTATTATCGCAAATTAATTTTATAATTTAATAATTAAAAAGAATTTATTAAACTTTGTCTTATTTTAAGTTGTCATGTTTTAATTTACTTGGATATTAAAACAATAAATTTTTGAAAATGTAAAAGAAAATGATATAGAGTACAAAGATGTTTTATGAAACTGAAGAAATGAATTGAGAAGTTTTCTAAATATTAAAATTATTTATAATTTTAATTTACTCAAAATATTTTTGATCTGAAAATAATTTATAACCTAAAAAATTAATTTTTCAGGTTATAAATAATAAAAGTTAATAAGGTTATAGAAAATAATTCTTCCAAACATTCACGAGACATTGCAGTGACAGACACGCAGTCTGACACTGCGCCAGGAAAATCAAATGGTTTTTCTATTCTACTCCGGTGGTCGGTACAGTCCGCCAAAACTGTTAAATTTCCCCCTACACACTACCAGGAATTACTTACTTAAGGTCAGGCATTCATGGTTAATCCTTTGAGGATTAACTTAACGTGTATAGCCGCCTTTAACTCATCGACCACCCCACTCACTTTTAGCCCTCCTAAGCCATCGCCTGACAAGGAAGCCGATAAGCGGGGTCAAGCTAGGCACTTTGCCCCCTCGGTTCTCACAATATGCACACGAAAAAATGTTTTCAGCCAACTTAATTGGTTCTCATCGGTTTCCAAAGATGTTGAGCCTATATTTATGTCTAATAATTTCAAGCGTTTAGCCTTGTATTTTGACTAAGCACTTGAAAGTATTAGACATTTTTTACAGATAAACATAGACTCAACATTTTTTTTTGTCAACAAGTGGGCTCTATTACATCACTAAATCTTCTTTAATACTTTTTTAAAATTTTATTTTGAATAATTATTTTAAATTTAGAATGTTGCGTAAACAGCTTTTAATGACTCCGCACTCGAAATCGAACGAACACGCGACGTTCAAACATTCAAAGTTTTCTTTTTAGCAAATGTTTTAGAATATGATAAATTATGATTACTTAAACTTGTAAGAACGTTTCTTATTGGAAATTAGATTCAATTTCGCAAATTCTCTTTATCCAATTGTTTCTTACATTACAATTTATATTGCAGATTTCCGAAGAGCAAACAACCGAAAATTCGGAAGAACGACGATCTGAAGAATTTTCCAGTTGTAAAACATTCCGATACCAGTTCTGCGTCCCTTGCATTTATGCATGCCTCTTCCAGTTTGCTCTTGTAAATTTCAATTTTTTCAGCAGTTTTCGCTAGTGTTGGAGAGTAAAAGGGTTTGACAATACCCCTTTAACCCATTTTATTATTGAGCCTTGTGTCTGCGCGAACTGGGAAAGTACCCTTGTGTTGGAGCCTTTTTTGACATCATACTTGTGTTCTTTAAGTCTTATCCCTAAGTTTCTTGTTGTGACTCCAATGTATTCTTTTTTGATTCCTAGTTGTGTGTTCTCGTAAGGAATTTTATATACTCCTGCTTTTTCTTCTTTTTTAATGTGATCTTTATCATTTCTTAAGATTGTATACAGGTTCGGAGCTCTTTTTAGGACCATTCTTGTCCCCTTGCGGTTCGTAATTTTCATAATACCTTTCGTATACTTGTTATATGTGAACTTTGTGACTTTACCGGGATCATGTTTTGAACTTCTTGCTGTGCCCATCTCGTATTTTTTAACTAATCCTGCTATTGTGCCTTTTCTGTATTCCGGTGTTTTGGCTACTTGTACGATTCTGTCGATTTCTTTTGTTCTGTCTACAACACTATCACAATATAGAAAAGCTCTTCTGATTAGAACTCGGAATGCTGCCAGACAACGAAACACCATTTTAAAGTGCATTTTTATTCAATTAATATATTTATAAATAATATATAGCCCAAAATGTAACCAATGCGCC